CTGTATAAAAAAACAATGCTCACTTGAACAATTTGAAATGTGATCTAAGACAAAATGCCAAATCTTTAATCTCGACTATACTATGTAATGTGCGTTTTATTGTACTCAGATACAAGTATAGACTTTGAGGTTTTAATATCACTGTGAATACAACTGAAAATCAGCGCCATATTATTAATATCTCAGTATTATGCTGAGTTGGGGTACACTTTGATCTTGTTAGCATATTTTTTTTTGTACCGATAAGAGTTTAACGCTTTTACTTTCTGTAGAATCTATAACTTTGATTTTATTCTATTATTACATTGTTCTTAGATTGTGTGGTTAACTGCAAAAAAAGACAGTGAGTGTCAAACGATAATATTAAAACCGGATTTCACTGTTGAGATTGAGTAGAGTGCAAATAGATAAATAGAATTATTGGAATCTAGATTAAAAATATATCTCGTAAAGTTACTCGTACATTAAGTAGGTAAGTAGTTTGCTATCCAGATCCATTTCGCTTGACGTCTGAGATGAGATTAAAATCTAATCTCAGGTAGTGCTTCTACGAATCCACGTTATAAAAATGGTTGCGTAATTGTTACAGTTGTTTGTGTAATGCATCGATCAACGAGGTTTAATCACGCTGAGCATGGCTGTCATTTGGATGGGTGTCCTTAAAATAATCGCGGCATACCCTCGGACAAACATTTGATAGATATTTTTGTAATTTTATTATATGACTAAAAGAAGCCCTCTTTATTGTTTAATACTGAAAAATTATTATTTATAGAGCAAAACATCACAACGGAGTCTTTAGTTAATTTTTCAGCGTCATTTGCTCCAGCTTTGCAAGTTCGGGCAAGATAAATTGACATAGGATTGCCATTTTAACGTGGCCTACTTTGCCTCTACCATTCAAAACTACGGAAGCTATAAAAAAGGGAGACTAAGGGGTGTCAGAGCTCAAATTAACTTGGTTATTTCGGATAAGAACGCTGATTTAGCGATATTATCAATTTTAGCGTTAAACTGTTGACTTGAATCGTTTTTCTAAGTTTTCACCAGTAGTAGGTGGTAGTATCTACGATGTATACAAAAATAACTGAATTATTTTATATTAGTCGGTTACATTATCGTTAGGCATGTATCAGGTCTATCCGTTCAAACAATAAGTACATTCAATTTTACCTGATTCTCTTTAAATTTTTTATCTAATTGGAATAACGACTGTGGTGATAATTCGTCTAATGGAAAATAGGGTGGTGTCTTCAGTGGTTGCTTATAAACATGATTAGTACTATGACAGTAGAAAATGTTTTTGTAACGGCAATGTTTTATTAAGAACTAAAATGTTATGCCTTCGTTTATGTGGTTTTACTGTAATATCTCTTCATATACATCTAAACACAGCAGACAGTTACTAAGCGGCAGTAATATATGATACAGAAGTACGTAGTTGATTTTGTACAAAGTCTATTAAACCTTGATAGATTGTATTATTATTGAACGCAAACCATGTTTACTTTTACAAAATTAATAAACTGGACATGCAACAATCAATTATTGTCCAATTTCAATACATTCGCTTTGCATTATAATGGCTACTTCAACACACGCATTAATAAAACAAATCTTCTCATATCCGCTAAATCAAATAGAGCGTTGCTGTTACCATTACGCCCGTTTAAACCGGAGCTTATCTTTTTTCCCCATCTTCTCTTAAGTGCCTGCTGTTTCTGTAATATTTTCACCTGTCGACCTGTTAAACAGGCATATCGTATGCTGAAAGGGCGATTCGGCGTGATAAAGTACGACGATCGAGCAACGCCCATGAAAAATTTTATCCTCTCACCATGTTAGGATTAAAGGGCGACATTTGTACATGCAGTATAAATGTTGACCGACAATTTCGATGAATTATATGATATATTAGGGACACTTGTTACTTACAAAACCGACATAAGTTCTAGGACGTAATATATTTTAGAAATCTGCAATCGGATGTATTAATATATCCTATAATAATCGAGGGTCCGGTGGTGAACACCATCTGCTGTTAACACCATGTGTTACGAACACAAAATGTTACATTTTAATGAGACAACTGCGGTCAGTGATTAATTAATTGATAGATTATCCATATGCGCTATTTGTGTGGCAATTTCTGAACAACATTGTTACTTACTAGCCATTACCCGATATTTCGTCTGAATAAAGTCCATCCACTAATTCACAACTACCAGAATATTTTTTTAAATAAAAGATTGCTCACTTGAACATTTTGAAATGTAATTTAAGAAAAATATGTCCACCATCGTAATATTTTATTTATGTCAAATATTATTAGGATTCAATCAACCATTTTGTCAGACGAACACGCATAGATTTAGGCATTTATAATATTAGTATGAATTATTAATATCATTCCTTACCTTTCAAAAACTAATTAGTGGCATATACTATAGTTATAATTAAGTTATTAAGTGTTAATCAAATGAACAAATTTTCACACTACTATTTCAAACATCCACCTTTCAATTTATATTTTTATTAATCTTATCCGTGTGTTCTTTAGGTTTAAAAATACTACGATATACCGTAGAAATCTGTGATTATCTTACATCACAAATGTAGTCTGAATTTTAAAACAATGAACTTAAAGCAGCCGTGCTAACTGCTGAAGGAAAGATAAAGTCCTTATTTTGGAATGGATCTTAAGAGAATCAGAAATCTCTATAGAACCAAACGAAGTTGGTTATGGAACTAGAAAATTATGGACAGAAAAGCACTCATCGAGGTAGACTTTGTATAACGTCCATTGTGTAGGCGGTACCATTCTATCTCACCTTTTACGGTCACCAAGCAGCTTATTTTGTAAGCTATGTTATAGTTGAAGGGCGAGGATAACCACTTACTCAGCAAGAATGGCATTACCGTCAGAAAAAGGAGCTGTTGATATTGATTAATACAATATAAAATAAACTGATTAAAAACATATTATTGTGATCATAAAACAACTATTGTAATTTGCCGAAAAAATGGTTATCTATAGAATATATCTGATAGTAATAATATAATACAACAAATAGGTTGATATTGCTGAATACAATATAAAATAAAAGATATGATCTAAAAACAACCACTTATCTTTATCAATACCAAAACCGATTATCGACAGAATATATGTAGTAGTTATAATAATATTATATAATATAACAAATAGGCAGCAATATAAGGGATAGGAAGCAAATCACATAAGCGTTTCAGTGCTCATTGCCAATGTCTTTGTTAGTATGAATTACATGAATTTTGCACGGTATGCTGGAAGATATTTATTGCTGTATAAATCATGTACAACTTGTAATGTATTGCGACTCTATTCAGCCGATGTACGAGTAACTCACACCGACACCGTCCAATACAATTTATGATACATATTTTTATAAATATTTGCCACGAGTTAAATATATACGGAACAGCCCGCTGTTGAAATATGTAGCGTGGAGATTCTATATATTGGATAGTACTCTGTATTTTGCTGTGAACTCTTATAGATGTCAAATATAGTTTGAGCCCGCGACTTCGTACAGTTATAACTTTTTTGTTTGTAAATCGATTAGAAAAAACCAAACAGTAAATTTTAAGTTAAGCTTAACCAATACAATTTCCAAATCTGCATTAAAATTGGTTAAGTCATTTCTGAGATTTGCATGTTTGGCTAGCAAACAAACAATCTTTAAATTTTTCTTGTATGCATATATGACTATTGTTGAAACATATCTAATAGCGGCAATCATTTGTAGTGGTTATATATTTTTTTAATATTAGATAAGTTGATTCTATGTAATTTACCTTTATGCCCCTCATCAAATAATTGTATGGAGTAAAAGGTCAATACCAATACAAACGTTTGACAAAGTCTGTTCTTGTACCTTTATTTATATGTACTCGTATATACAGGTTAATAGAAAATAAAAGAAAATTTTTAGGAATATGTAGATATTTTTATATGAAATGATTGACAAGAAATGTTGAGTGACAAATATGCATTAACATTCTGTTTATCTGTTAAATTTACCCTTTCCTTCTTTCGCAAGGGGCATTCTGATCCTTTATGTCCTGGAACTATACAGTTATAGCACACAATTGCTTTCTTTTTCTTAGTGTTACGCTGTACAGCTTTTCTCTCCATGTTTCTAATATTTTTCTTCTATTTTCTATATTATTCCTATATACATTTAAAAATAAAACTACCACAACTGTTGTACGTGGGGTTTTCTTAATACGTCTTAAATATTTTAAATGAATACTCTTACGGAGTCAGAGGTACTTCGTAACAGTATTCAAGGAATCACATTCTAAGGAATGTTTCCACTCCACGTTTTGTTCACGCATGGCAGTATATTTACAGAAATCAAACAAGAAGGCTGGTATGCAGTAATAATTTAAATAGTCTGATTTTCTACGATACAATTTGTTTGGACCTTGTATTTGTTTTTAGTAAACAACTTAATTGTTTTGTAACTCAAAATGGTACGTTTCAAGTTAATTATAAGTAATTGAATTGAAGTAACCTCAGGCGCCGTGTCGGCCCCAAGTGCTCGTTGAAACAGCATACCTGCCTACCTATACTCAGAATGTTCCTCAAATTAGATTAGGCTGCTCGAGTGTTCTCGGTTTAATTTCAACTCGGATTACACTCTAATGAACTCACCACGAACGTTCCCAGCCTCACTTATTTTAATTTTGATATACAACAAAAATATAATACGGCTACATCTGTCTATTACTAAAAGTATTTAGACATAGTCAATTTCAAGAATTTCTTACTTATTAAATAATGGTGGTTAATTAATTCATTAATAATTATGTTATGTATTGATTATGTTAATAGAAGGTCAATTTATAATTATGTATATTGAGGGTAAATGTGAAATAAACAGTTTGGTTTCTGATCTCAACTTGGTTGTATTCTTTATTGGCGACGAGATAAATTAAAATTATTTAACGTGAAAATGGCAGCAACTGTGTCGAATATTGTGTTTCCCGGACAATTTAACCCAAAAACTGATAAGTGGTGTGATTACAAGGAGCAATTAATGTGTGCGCTAGACGCGGCGGGCGTCAGTGAAGATAACCTCAATAGGGGACGATCGCTGTTCCTTTCTCAGTGTGGAAAAGACACTTTTGCGTTAATCGCATCTCTTTTAGTTCCTAAACGGCCGACTGAAGTATCGTTAGCGCATATTTTCAATGTTTTGGATAAGTTTTTTGAACCAGAAGTTAATGAAATACTACAGGCGGGAAAATTTCATAAACGGCAACAGTTGCAAGGAGAAAGTGTACAGGACTATGTAGCGGCTATGAGCCGACTAGGTGCAAAGTGCAATTTTGTAGACCTGGAACGCCAGTTGAGGGACCGACTAGTGCTGGGGGTGCGGGATGATCGCTTACGGCGCGATTTATTAAAGAAGAAGGATTTAACATACGAAGTCGCACTACAGACTTGTCTGGATTATCAAGCGACATTCCCTGATTTGTACCCTGCGTATGCAGCTAGTGCGTCAAACCAAACTCCACCAAATGTTACCGAAACCGAACCTATGGATATTGGTATTGTGAGATCCAATGAATGTCGACGGTGTACACGTGGTCATAAGCCAGGCGAACGCTGTCCGTTCTGGAAAGCAAAATGCTTCTATTGTAAGAAATTCGGGCATATTGCAGCAGCATGCGATAAGAGGCCAAGACGCACACACCTAGTTGACGAGGGTGGAGAATGTAGTGGAAGTGACGACGTGTCGGCAGAGAAGATGATGGGGATTTATGTCTGTACAGATAATTGCACACCTCCTATAACTACCGATGTTATTATAGACGGAGTGCAATTATCAATGGAAGTGGACTCGGGAGCCTCTCGGTCTATTATGTCGGAAGAGACATATAGAAAGCTATGGTCGACACCCCCACCTTTAAGACCCACTACATTGAAGCTGGTAACATGGACTAGAGATCCTATAAAAGTTTTGGGAGTAGCTAATGTACGAATTATATTAGCGAATAAGGAAGCACAGTGTGAACTTGTAGTAGTATCAGGAAATGGGCCGAACCTGTTGGGTAGAAATTGGTTTCAAACACTAGGCCTCCAAGTTTCTGGACTGTGCTGGTCAGAAGAGAATATCCTAAGTTATTTAAAGAAGGTCTGGGAGAGTACAAGGGTCCTAAAGTTTCGTTACATTTACGACAAGATGCCATCCCTCGTTTCTTAAAGGCCCGCCCGGTGCCTTACCCACTCAAGCAGAAGGTAATAGAGGAATTAAACAAGATGGTCACTGCAGGCATACTAACACCTGTACGATATTCGGAATGGGCCACGCCACTGACACCAGTCATGAAGGAAGATGGAACAATACGAATGTGTGGTGACTATCGAGTGACGGTAAACGGCGCGATAGATACAGATACATACCCATTGCCAAAGTCGAATGAAGCATTTGTGAAATTGAGTGGGGGCAGGATATTTAGCAAACTGGACTTAAAGCAAGCGTACACACAGCTTAAAGTAGATGATGCGACAGCTATGCTGCTAACACTTAATACTCCGATTGGTCTAATGAAGATGAATCGCTTACCGTTCGGCGTAAGCGCAGCGCCAGCTATTTTTCAACGGCTTATGTCAACTGCGCTTGCAGGTATGGAGGGAGTAGCATGCCTGTTAGACGATGTAGCCGTAACTGGCACCACCGTCGAAGAACACAACCAGAGACTTAAGAAGGTCTTATGTAAACTGGAAGAAATGGGACTGCGTCTGAATGTCAAAAAGTGTGTGTTTGCAGCGAATAGCATTACATTCTTAGGCCACATGTTAGATGTGGACGGGCTCCACCCGTCACCTGCGAAGGTTAAAGAAATTCAAGAGAAACCAGCTCCAACGAACAGAGAAACCCTGCGAGCTTTTCTGGGTTTATACAATTTCTATGAGAAATTTTTGCCTGGTAAGAGCACCATATTAGAGCCATTGTATAGACTTTTAGAATCTAAAAGGACATGGAGCTGGGGTGATGGAGAACATAAAGCCTTTTTGGAAGCTAAACGCTTACTGTCTTCGGATCTCACGCTGGTGGGATATGATTTGCAGAAAGAACTAATTCTCATATGTGATTCCTCGGAGTATGGACTAGGAGCAATTATTGCGCATGTTATGCAGGATGGATCAGAAAGACCGGTGATGATGGCCTCAAGAACATTACAAGCCCATGAGAGGCGGTACGGTCAGATCGATAAAGAGGCTTTGGCAATTATATTTGGATTGACTAAATTCCATGAGTTCTTATCAGGTCGTAAATTCATTATAGTGACGGATCATAAGCCATTAGTTGGTCTATTCAATCCAGAAAAACCTATACCGGAGCAAATTTCACCTAGAATGCTACGCTGGTCACTAAAACTAGCATGTTATGATTACAAAATAAAGTACAGACCAGGTAAATTAATTGGAAATGCGGATGCTTTAAGCAGATGGACTGCTCCGAATACATCATGCATAAAGACAGAAGAGACCAGAGATATGTTGTTGATGGAAGAACAATTGAGCGAGTGGCAACTGGATGCTTGTAAAATTGCTGAGGAGACCAAAAAAGATGTGGTTCTACAAAAAGTAATGTTCTATGTGTTGCATGGTTGGCCGCGCAAAAACACAGATTTGAGGTTACAAGCGTATTGGACAAGGAGAGAAGCTCTTTCGCATAATAAAGATTGTTTATTATGGTGTAATAGAGTAATAATACCGACATCCTTACAGGAGAAGGTGTTAAAGTTGTTGCATGCACCACACGCAGGCATGGTTCAAACCAAAGCATATGCAAGAGGGTACGTGTGGTGGGAGGATATGGATCGTCAGATTGAGAACGTTGTAGCCTCATGTCAACAATGTCAACTGGTACGAAATAAGCCACCAAAAGACCCACAATCTTGGATTGTCTCGGAAAAGCCTTGGAGTCGAGTACATGTTGATTTCGCAGGACCCTTCCAGGGGAAAACATTTTTAGTCCTAGTAGATAGCTACAGTAAATGGTTTGAAGCTGAAATAGTGCCTTCAATGAATAGTGGTACGGTGATAAATGTTGTTAGAAAAATCTTTACGTCGCAAGGTCTTCCCGATGTATTAGTTTCTGATAATGGACGCGCCTTTACATCTGAGGAGTTCAATATTTTTTTGAAAAATAATGGAATTAGACATTTGTATTCACCACCATATCACCCTGAAACAAATGGGCAGATAGAACGGGCTATCCAAACTTTTAAAAATAAAATGAAAAAACTGGAATGCCAAAATTGGCCATGGCAAGAAAAGCTCTGTAAAGTTTTATATTATTTACGAACAGTTCCTAATAGTTCCACCAACAAAACACCAGCCGAAATACTCAATGGGCGGAGATATAGAACTGCAGTTTCAGCCCTACATCCCGACTCGATTATGAGTCGTAGTGAGCATCAGCGTGAAGCGGCAGCACTCCATCCACCTGCCCGGAACTTTACAGTGAACCAACCAGTACTGATACATATGTATGGCCCAGGAGACAAATGGCACAGAGCCACTGTGGAGATAGTGGAAGGACCTGCAACTTACAGGGTGAGAACGGAAGATGGAGAGTTGCATCGCCGTCATACAGACCAAATTCTAGCAAGACCAGCAAGCGCAACTACAAGAGCACTTTCCGAGTTAGACAGTCACCTCATGAAGGAGTCTGACTCTAAGCTATCACAGGATCCATCCATAGTCATTCCACCTCCTGAATTATGGCCAGAAATTATAGGGATACCCAATGAGTGTTAATGAATGATTGTTATTGTCAAATTTACAAAATCTAATAACTGATTTGATATGTATTTCTATCATCTAAATTATGATTGAGATTACCTAGATAATTAATTAATTAAGTATTATTCGTATTCAATAAATATTCTAATAGTAGTCATATTGCTAGCCAATCATTAGGAGAGAAAGGTATGTTATGTATTGATTATGTTAATAGAAGGTCAATTTATAATTATGTATATTGAGGGTAAATGTGAAATAAACAGTTTGGTTTCTGATCTCAACTTGGTTGTATTCTTTAGTAACTAAACCCGAAGATCTATTACTTAAATATAGATTGGAATTTTGAATGATTGGTTATTTATTGCTTTTGAGTATCTTTTAATCCATTTCATTATCTTTCCATTTTGATTTTTCTTATTTCCCACATTATCATTACTGTCTAAATCTTATTCTCGATCAGTTCGCATTACTCTCCTCTGTGTTTGGCAATTGTCAAACCATTTGATCCGGCACGAAGGATCAAATAGTTTGGAGATTAGATAAGCATGCACGGCATACTGTTTTGATATTGAATACAAAAGTGCGCATCGATTAATAATTGGAGTCATATTTTATTTTATAAGAACTGAAATAAAATGCCTGTAGTTATTATTTAAGGGCGATCAATTAGATCGCCTCATATATCTTATAAATATTATTTGGGGACTTTAACAATGGTATGGAATGTGAAGATTGCTAAAATTTTGTCTGTTTGTCTGTGGGATTGTATGCGCTAATCTCTGAAACAATTTAACTTATTTGTGATTTTCAGTAATATACGTGATAAGTTTCACATAAGATGTAGTACTCCAATGTACCAAATATTAGAGTCCAATTAAGTTATACGGGCACGAAGTCGTGGGCTCAGCTAGTATGTCATATACATATTTGTTTGCTAGCTAGACTAGCAAAGTAGCTAGGACGTGGCCTATTCATTACAGACAACGACTCCGCGGCTTTATTCTTGTTCAGGTCGGTTCAGAGCATTATCTCATTGTAACCGAGTTAAGCCACGCACGATTAATATAATTAGCCTGGCATTATGCCGCCTTATTACTGGGTTGGGCACTTAGATTTATAATGCATAAGTAACCTCCCTTTTGTTTGTTAATTCAGGAACAAAACGGCGTCCGCTTTGCAGTCCATGTCACGTTAATCACTGTGCTTTGGGGGCTTATTACACTATCATATGTTCAACATAGCCACAGAAATAGGTAGGAACTAAAATGAACTTACTGAATTATTCGTTTGTTCATTATTTCGTTATATTGTACGATGTGTAATGTGCAAAAAAATGCAGCAAGATCATGTTACTGGCAGAATTCAGCGTACTTAAATAAAACAATGATGAAGGTGACGATGAAAAAGACAGACTTCGCTACTAAACTGGACTGTATAAAGTGCAATTTCATTGTTTGTAGTGCGTACTAACTACTATGAACGAATAATAATGGCACTAGCAAATATACATACATAATACGTAAGCAAAGAATTATTTCCTAATGTACATCCTGTGCTTTGTTTAGTTGGAGCGTGTTTCAGTATTGCAACATAGTAGTTATTCTATATACAAGTGAGTTAAATATTAAAGCTAGCACCATATAGACGGTAGGAAACTGAATATTTTGGACAGGAAACTAGGCGAGAATTTGCCAACACGCGTCCATGTATATCAAACCACGAATACGTTGCTACTCCTACAACTGTTTATTCGTGATGGCGCTGCACTTATAGTTTTATTTCAAACTGAAATTCCAAATATGAATTTGAAAATATAACATCTTTTTAAAAACGTCCTAAGGCATAGTGCATGCAGGCAACTAAATTCGAAATCTAAATTTTATGAAGTATAACATCTTTTGAGTAAATTTCTAAGGCGTAGTCCCCTGCACTTAGGTGGAGATTAGTCTCTCAGGCGGATCAATTTTTTTATAAATAACTTACCTAATTAGAACCGTATATTAATAATAAATAGTGCGGTTTTAGAGTTTCTGGAGAAATAGTGGAATAAACTACCTATCGAAATTTTTCTTTAGAGACAAGAAACTTACGTACAGGTTACCATCAGATAGTCTGTCTGTAAAAATACCTAAATATATATATTTTAATAAGTAATTACACAATGTTTTCGTTTTGTTTGCAATGCCTTCGTCCGCAATTAACATCAACTGTGGGAAGGTTTAGGGTGCGTCAGGCAGATCGAGTTGCGTTCGATAATGAGGTTAGAGGCCGCGAACTGCGCCCTTCGAGAAGTTGGTACATTAATCGCCATAATGATTATTATGTCGCCGCATGTAGGCTTTGGAATGAATTGTTACAATAATCCATATACATATAGTCTGAATCTGAAAGGAAATAGAAAATCGTTTGTAGTAGTGTACGGCCAGTAGATATAAATAAACTTCAGGTGTTAATAGTGCTTCTTTGCTAACGTTGTAGCATAAAAAAATATGCAAATATATAATATATATGATTTTGTTATATATATAGGCAGTCACGTATTATTAATTAAATGTAATTTTTTGATATCCCTTTCTTCAGGTCTAGTAACTTGCGGTAAAAAAATACACCAATGAAAACGAACTTGTTATGAAGTAATAACTACTTACAAGCGACTGATGGGGTAGTTTGATGAACGTGTTTACTAGCGCTAATCTGGCTTATTCCGATTTTAGTTACTATAGAGATGTAACAAATACAAAATATCGGCCTAGGTGGTTTAGAAACCGCTTTACTTCCGATGGTCGCGGTCTCGATTCCTCGCACAGTACAAACATGTCTAATCTTGACTATGATTGTTTGTATAATTTAGGTGTTGTATGTGTAGGTGTTTCTTATGTATATAATGTATGCATTTACAAAAAGTTAGTCCGCGCCATCTAGTCCCAAGCTAAGCAGTGTTTGTTTTATGGATAATACAAACAATTGCTTGATAAAGCTAAGGTAAGCTAGCTGTCATAAAAAAATAGAAGGTATTACAATTTATTAAGTGGTTTCAATTTATTCGTACATTATTTATTAGTGTATTCTATAAAATTACTTCTATACCTAATTCGAATTTTATACGAGACTAATCTATATGGATTACAAATAGAAATATGAGAATTGTTATACCTACATATTACAATCAGTGAAAACAGTCGCAAAGAAAAGCAAGTTATGAAGTCTTTTTTCCGTATAAAATATTTATGGAATACATTTCTTGACATTTTCAAATATATATATAAATTATTTTCATTTCATGAATAATTCGATGTACTTACATGAAAAATATGTTGAAGAAAGTAACACCACAGCTAAAAATAAGTTTGATTTATTTAGTTCGTTGCGAATAATACGTGGCTATACAAAGTAAATGTATAAGCACCTACTTACTGCAATCTCATCATACGTACGAAGCAAAAGTATATAATTATATCATTAATTTCCTTTACTGTGAGAGGGGCGACCGCTAAGCTAGTGCGAGATACAACGTTAACAGCTTTTATTTTATTTATTTAACGTAATCTCGCCGGACCTTAGCCACAGATTATAGGAACCAGTGGCCAAATGGTACACTGGCAACTAATTTCTCGGTTATAAAATAGACGTGATGTTTACTTCACTACTCAAGTTTGATTATTGTAGCTTTTGATGTTTTTTTTTTTAAATTGCAACCAAGCCCATGGTAACTGTATATATGAGCAACATCACGGGAATCATAGAAACGTATGACATAAGTAATACTTCTGACATTTGTCATTCCTATTATTTCGTATGATTTTTTATTCATGGCCTTGGTGGTCTAGATTTTTAGCAAGCCGCTTTACTTCTGATGATCGCAGGTTTCATTCCTCGTACGGTATATACAGTTGTATTCATAAGTAGTTGTTTGTATCGGTCTGGGTGTTTTCTATGTATCTTATGTAAGTATTTATAAAAAACGTATCTAAGTATGTCAGGTGTATACCCATATCATAAGCTATTCTTAGCGTGAGACGAAATGGCTCTATGTAAATTGTCCACGGATATTAATGTTATTATGTTTACGTACTTTGTAATTTCACAGTATATCTTAATTTTCATACTGGAGCAAAGTTTGTAAGGCAAGTTCCTTGGTACTAGAACTAGGCAAGACAGAGGTGCTGAGGCAGATGACGCTATAAATAGTTTCGGATATTGACATAAATTAGGTCACTATATATATTATTAAGTGATACACGTAACCAAAAGAACAGTTATATGTTAAATGTAGTAAGTTACTCTACTGCTAGTAGTTTAGACTGTCATCTCGAGGCTTTTCGCCATCGCATCCATTGCTGCTGACAGCACAGCTTCAAAGCTGAAATATGACCATTTGTGAACACTCCACAATATTCCCAAATATACTACCCTTTCTATGAGAGTAGACAAATGGAATATATATTTTTATGTGCTTCTATGTACTTTTATATAGTATTTATATACTTAAGACCAAGTGACTTTAATGATAAACAAAAATAAAATTTATTTATTTCCATAAAATAAAAAGTGACTTCTATTTCCTTATATTTAAAAAAATGTTTATGGGATCACATTAATAATATTGTATTTAGGGATCAAATTAATAAGGCAGTAATATTGCAAAAATATTTAAAACATTTGCATAATTTGGTGACATATTGAATAATGATTAACTACTACATTTTCCAGACCAGAAATAGATGATTTTGTCACTTTGTCTGAAATGATTAAAATGGGTCATAAGAAATGTGAAAATAGTACAATATTACAAATAGGTTTATAAGACGCTTGGCGTCTTACATTGCTTTATGGAAAAAGCGTATAAAAAGTAAAAAAAATGTAATTACTTACTCATCGACACTTTTTTGTCGGCTCGCGACAGTCAACAGATGACGTGGGTTGAGATTGATCACTTGGTCTATTCTTAATGATGACATTATAATTCTTTGCTACGATTTACTCGTAGTCAATTGCAAAATGTCTTATAATGAGAA